CGGGTTGTCTGTCCCCGACACGTGCTGCCACTGTTTACGTGACGTCACCTCACATATCTCTGATATCCTGTGGGCGACGAACGGCTGAAAGCGGCGGACTTCATTCCGAATCCAGCACAGCACGTCCATCGAATCGGACCAAAAGTGCACCTCTTCTAGTGTCTTGTTCATTGCTGTGCACAGCGTCTTCACAAGCCTCAACCCTAGCAGGGCGCCCATGAGCTCCAGTCTTGGAATAGTTTGGATCTTCCCTCGTGGCGCTACCCGAGCGCGAGCCAGCGCGAGCTGAGAAGCTCGTTTACCTTCACATTCGGAGACGACGTAAATAGCGGTGCCGTAGGCCTTCTCCGAGGCGTCACAGAAGACGTGAATCTCCTGGAGGGTAGCGTCTGGGAAAGGATGAATACATCTTGGCACTGAAAGGCTGCTGAGCTGCAGTATATCTTTAAACCACTCACGCCACTTCAGCTGCTGGTCACTTGGCAAGGCGTCATCCCAGTCTGCTCCGCTGTTCCACGTCTGCTGAAACAGCATCTTCGCTCGAATGGTGAGCGGCACGAACAGACCGAGCGGATCGAAGACGGATGCCATTTCCCTGAGGCACGCTCTTTTGGTCAGTTCTCCGCAGAGGCCTCCTCGCTTTGACGTGTCTATGGACAGGCGATCTTCATCTGCTGACCAGACTACTCCAAGCGTCTTGGTTGGTACCGAGCCTTGATCTTCGAAGAAGTGCTGAGAGCTGACTGCTCTGTCTTCGATGGGGATGGCCTTCAGCACACTCGCATTGTTAGACATCCATTTCTTGATCTTCATGCCACCATCTTCCAAAATGGTACTGACCTGCTTTCTCGCCTTTACAGCCTCGTGTTCGGTTCGGAAGGACTGGATGCCGTCATCCATGTAGAAATGCTTCAGTAGCACCTCAGAACCCAGCGGAAACGCGCTGGCGTGCTTCTTGGCGTTTTCTTTTAGCACGAACTGTGCGACGAATGGAGCGGCCGCGTTTCCAAACCGCCATCTGTTTGACTCGTATACGGTGGGCTCCTCGTCCTTCATGTTTCTCCACAGTACTCGGTGATACTTGCGGTCATCCGGAGCCAGCTCGACCTGCAAGAACATCTCGCAGACGTCACCGATCAGTGCGATGCGATGCAGTCTAAATCCGAGCAGTGTCTCGACCAGGTCAGTATAAAGAGACGGCCCTGGGAGAAGCTGTGAATTCAGGCTCACTCCCTGATACTTTGCGGCTGCGCCTGCATCGTACACTATTCGGACCTTTGTCGACTCCTTTTCTTCTCGGACGACTGAAAAGTGTGGTAAAAACCACTCTTTTTCACCACTGTGCTCTCTTTTGGATGCGAGGATTTTGCTCATGTAGCCCTTCTTGACGTACTCTTCAAGAATCGCACCATACCTGGCAGGCAGGTCGCCTCCAAGTCGCTTCAGGGACTGCTCAAGTCGAACAAGACGCTGCATCGCTGCTTCATAGTTGCTGACCAGCTGAGGTTCCTGATCCCTCCATGGCACAGCTGCTTGATAGCGGCTACCGTTGTACACCAGCGACTTCGAGACCTTCTTTGTTGCTTCCTGTTCTTCACGTGACATCAGACTTTCTTCTGATTTTCTAACTTCAAGTACCTCTAGGTCAGTCATGCACTTGATTGCTTCGATTTCTTCTTTACATGTTGTCTTTGAGACGTGCGTCCTCAGAGTTCTGGAAAAGTTCGACATGTTCTCCCTCATCTTCAGCGCAGAGGATCCATGTTCGGCGAACTTCTTAATCGCACCGAATGCCGTCCACCCCAGGGGAGTCAAAACTGCCACTGGGTCGGAATCGGCGCCCTTCACGGTCTTCAGAGGCACAAATAGCGGGGTCGTCACCGCACAGAGGCCGATCAGAATGTCGACACTGCCGCCACTCATTCTCGGAAATGGTACGGTCTTCATGTGCGGCCACTGGCTCTTCACCGTGTTCCAGTTTGTACGCACTGATGCACCATCGAGGCTTGAAATCACGTGGACTTTGATTTCTGCTTCATAGGCGCTGTGCAGACTTGAAAGCTGCACATCCCCCGTCTTCATGCTGACGTCTTCTTTTCCATTCACTGTGCTGAGCTGCAGCACTTCTTCTGGTCCATCGAAACCCAGCTCGCCTGCAGCAGTCTTAGTAATGAAGGAGGCATCGGAGCAGGGATCGAGCAGAGCGTTGAGAACGACCGAGCGGTTCTTGTGTTGAACCAAGACTGGTGCCACCTGGAAGGCTATCTTCCCGTGTGTGGCTTCTTGCTCTGCAGTCGCTGTCTTGTAGCTTGAGCTCTGATTGGTAGCCCTGCTCGTAGTACCACTGCCACTGGCTCCACTGGTCTGCTGAGATGGATGAAACTCGTTTATATCAGCCGCATTCTGCCACCTCGCAGGCTGGTCTCGGTTCATGGCTGTCTGCCGCTGCTCTTGCTCCTGCCGTTCAGCGTGGAGGAGAGTATGATGACTGCCGTTGCATCCATCGACTGTGCATCCTGGGAATTTCCTGCAACTAGTCCCGCGGTGTCTTCCACTGAGGCATCTGAAACAAATTCTCTCAGACTTGCAGAGCCTATATCTTTTCGAAACGTTCCAGCTCTGGAACTCTGCGCAATCATGTAGCATATGACGCGCTTTGCATGCCACACAAACTGTCTGCTCTTCACCATTTTCATGCTGTCTGCTGATCCTGTTCGTAGCGTACTTTCTTTTCCCACCAGTTTTCTGTTTTCCTGGTTTTGTTTCGTCTCCGGTCCTCGCCATCTCCTTCGCTTTCTTCTCGCATCGTGCTTCCTCTGATAGCCATTCGGCGAAGTTACCGAAGTTGTCTTCCTGGCCTGCGGTTGTCAGCCATCTTTGGTAGTTCTTTATGTACGAATGGTGCAGTTTTTCGGCCACCAAGATGTAGTATGCCGACACATCTGATAAGTCGTCGACTGAGCCACTCTCCTTCAATAAAGTGATAAGGCAGCTCACTTTATCGGCATACTGCTCCAGGCGCCTGGTGTCTCCCTCGGCGATGTTGGAGAACTGCCGAATGTCATTGAGGCCATGTCGGATCCGTCTTGTTTTTCCGCCGTACTTGTCTGTCAGGGCCTCTCTTGCCTTTGCATAGCCCATCTCAGATGGTTTGTAGCCCTCTACGAGCTTCAACGCTTCGCCAGAGAGGCTGTTCTTTAGGTAGAGCATCTTCAACTTTGGATCAATCCTTGAGGTTCCAATGAACGCGTCAAAAACCACCTCCCAGCCTTCGAACTTGGCGATGACTCCCTCGAACACTGGTAGTCCGGGTTGCTTGATGCCCTTAACGGAGACCTCCACATCCTGTTTTGTCTGTTCTTTGTCCTTTTCGGTCTTTTTCCTGGAGACTGTCATGATGAGGTCTTCACAGGCGTCAGTAAATTGGTACGCATCCTCCATGAAAGTCTCCGCTTCTTGGTCTGTCTCTAATATGTCGCAAATGTTCTCACTGACCTCCCTGATCGTCTTCAGCTGTTCCTTGAGTTGATCACCTTTATGCTCGATGACACTTCTTTCTCCATCATTGCTTAAAAGCTCTTCAATTTCCAGCTTTTCTCCGTCATTGCTTAAAAGCTCTTCAATTTCCCTCTTCAGCTTAGCAGCTCGGGCTTTGTAAGCGTTCTGCCTTATTCTTAACTTCGGCTCGTTCATTCTTAAATCCGGGTCACGGCACCAGATGTTACCGTGATAATTCTCCTCGCGTTGTGTTTATTTTAACTTAAATACTTAATGTTTGACAATACTGTGCTTCAAATTAACTTAAATGCTTAAAGGGAGATAATGACCTTTTTCCACAAAATCTGAGTTAGGACCATTTTCTGACAAAACACAACAAGTTATAATGTAAATTAAAACCATTTTGCTCAATTCGGTACCTTGCCGCAAATATCTCAACTTGAAGTCACGTTAGCGGGGAGCGCTGAAAATGACCGTTGAATAAGTACTTGCATCACTTTTTGGTACTTGCATGTAATTTTCTAAAATGAGCGTATTCCTTACATTTGATCTTCATCACATCTAGTTAGTTAATGGTCGTCTATAGTGCCTTCAAAAGATATTCATGGTTTGGGGGTGGTTTATGTCTAAATTTACGCAACTATTTTTCCTGTTCATCAGCTGACGCCATATGCTGCTATTTTAGTAGCAACGACTCAATTTTGAATCGATCCCGCCGACTGCACAATAAAAGAAGATAGATACAACACTTTTGCGGCATCACTGAAAAACTTATGCAGTACTGTTATCAAAATTCTCATAACACCGTTCGACAAACCTGAAGTCTTTTTGAAATAAATATGCTTGTATTTTTCGCTTCAGGCTCTGACGCCAAAATAATGAATTTCGTAGTCGCAATCGCAAGATTTGGCTGCGTTTCTGGCGCATGCCGTTCATTTGTGGCGCAAAATAATGTAAACAGTGTCATTTCTCTAGGCACTATGTACCCCCGAATTAGAATCTAATTAATTCTAAACCGAATTAACTCTAATTCAAATTAGAATCCTTACAACCAAGCAACGACAAGGCGATAACATAAACAAAAACCCAAGCCTGTTTGAAACAAAAGCGCCATATACTGCGACTTTTTTATAGAGAAGGACAACGCATTTCGGTGGGTGTTACAAGTACTGCAAGTACTGCTTCTTTTTTGCAAAAATAAAAACCTTTTTCACATACGAAAATGTGCTAGGAAATTTTCATATTTTATAGAAACTACAGTAGAAATAGTATAGATGTCGAGTAATTTTTATTTAAGAAAAAAGAAAGCTCATTATCTCCCTTTAAAGTAAAAAACACTACATATTGTCCTGCTGTTGTCTCTCTCAACTGCTCTCCTTTATTTTTCGCTCGAAATTATTCTAGCGCGTGGACAGCACTCGCGCACATATTGCTCACATTTCCTCCTCAACAGGCGCCTTTTCTATGTGTTGATTGTTGCGATATGTGTCTGTGCTCCCCAGACTCTGACGAGGACGACTGAGCGGGCCGTCCCGGCGCCATGGAGCGCCGTTCTGCTGCCGCCCAGCCGACAGACAGGGCGGGCCGTCCCGGCGCCATGGAGCGCCGCTCTGCTGCCGCCCAGCCGACAGACAGGGCGGGCGCGCGCGCAAATTCCGGCTGCCGCCGGGCCGGTGGTGCATCCTATTTCCGTTTCGGCCACGCGCTATGATTTGTATTTTTATATACAGATGCGGCCGGGAGGAGGCCGGTCAGCGGGCAGCTGCTGGCCTCCCCCCCCCCCCCCCTCCCCACAAATTGACGGCACGGTTACCTGCACAGTATCTGGCGACAATACAGTGACTGCGCGCGGCAAACTCGGGCGTGTGACTGAACGGTTCACAGCACAGCGGGGTGTTCCACGACAGAGCGTCCGAAAAATCCTAAATAACAACCTACTGATCATATATTAATAAGATTTTGTCAAGGAGATTATCTCGTCCGGCGATTTGTGTTGTAACATTGCCCGTCTCATCCGCCAACTACCTGTAACCTTCCCTAAAAGATGATCACGTCAGGACAATCAGGGCCCTCTGACCAGCCTGACAGCTAGTGTCTTTCATACTACCGGGGGCCCCCTGTAAATAGCCGCTAGTGTCTGTGTCTGAGCGCTAGCGTCCCTCTGACTCCTCAGTAGAGAGGAAGCCCCTTTAGAGAGGAGGCTTGCTGTAGAGAGGAGGCCCCCGGGATCTCTTCCCCCCCCCCCTTGGCCAAATCCTATGTATAGTCACCAGCAGTTGCTACCCATCACCCCCGGACGGCGGGGGAGCAAGCTACCACCGCCCCTGCGAGACTAGCGCCACCATGCGCCAAGGAGTGAAAACACCACGTGACTGAGGCCACGTGAGGGCAGGGTCACGTGATGGAGGGGCGGAGCATAGTAGCTTTTGCGCCCGACACTAACTGAAATGCGGCGCCGTGATTGGGCGCCTTAGCATGAATGAAGCCCCCGGCGCCATAATCAGCTGTTCGCCTTATATGGAAAGTGAGCCTGTGCGTTTCACTGTTCTGTATTGGTTTGAGAGCCACGGCACCATACCAATTGTGAGCCCCTTTGAACGTGTCACCGCCCGAGGCACTGAGGCGACGGCTGTGCCAATGTAGCCGACAGCGCCAATAGGTGAAATCGCTGGCACCATTAAATGTACCGCGTGCGGCTCCACCCTGGAGACGCCCAGGCCGCTCATTCCACCCATCCTTCGCGTTCCAATATCGGCACCGTCTCTCCAGGAATGCATATCAAATTCACTCGCCCCACAGCCGCTCGAGGGACGGATATGTTCCCAGTGCCATGCCCAGTGCCCACTCCAGTGTAATATCCACACAAATTCTCGTTGCTCCCGATGCTGTCTGCATACAGCTCCTCCGTTTTGATCACGGCACTAACACTTCTAAAAATACGTCAAACGTGTCGCTCACCCCTACTGTGAAGTTAAACGGCGTTATCTGGTACATTACGGGGATTATAAATCACGTAGGCACACTACATCAAGGACATTATACTTCATTTGTAAAATCGACTTACCGTTGGTACCGCTGCAATGACTCCAAAGTATCAGAAGCGTCTGAAGGGACAGCCCTCAGCTCAAGCACAAAGTCGGCCTACTTGGTTTTCTTAACCCTCGCCCATGTTGGTGCAACCCCCCCCCCCCCTGAGGTTTTTCGGAAATAGTGCAAAAACGGCGGCGCGCAGCGCCGCCAAATTTTGGGTACCTTATGGGGCAAACCTTGCGCATCTTTCGATAAAAAAAATTTGACCGGGTCATGTCAGGTCACGGAGTTATGACGTCACAAAGGGAACAGCCTCCGGCCGGATTTTCACAAACTGAGTGCCAACGCCCGAGGTTTCCTGCCGGTGGTACGGACATCGGTTGATGGATCGTGATGAAACTTCCCATGCATGTTGGGGCAAGTATTGGCTATCATATGGTATAAGAAACTTGACCGGGTCAGGTCAGGTCACGGAGCTATGACGTCACAAGAGGAACAGCGTCCGGTACTATTTTTGAAAAGCGCCCGAACCACTATTTTGCTAATTCTTGTCACCTCAATGGGAATATGCAGCAATATTAGCTTCTATAGGGAGCAAATGGACATCCCAAATCCAAAAATACAATCAGATTTCAAAAATTTAAATTTTGATTTTTCGAATTTCTGCCGCCGACTGTGACCTTGCCGACTTCCGGCGCTCCCAACGCGCCATTTTTAGAGCTAGGGAAACGAAATACATACCAAACGATAGAGAATTGATCAAGGAACACGATAGTGAAGGTTTCAAGTCGATATCTCTCACCGTTTTGCCGCAATCGCCGCGGAAAGTTGAAAAAGTTTGATTTTTTTTCGGAAAATTTGACCTTTGACCGGTCAAAAGTAGGTCAAATGTTGACCTAGGACCAAAAAATATACCACCAATCGCGAGATCTCGGCGAGAGCAATCCGTTGGTCTTTTCCGCTAAGCTCTACGACGCTCCGTTTTCAAACGCCAAGGGGGGGGAGGTCGCACCAACCCCCCCCCCCCCCCCCTGCATGGGCGAAGGTGGCAGATCGCCGTTTACGGGCGAGGGTTAAAGCAAATCTTAAAAATGTCGGGCATGTCATTCTGGTGGGGTGACGGTTGGAGCTCCAAAAAGGCCTCTAACCCCACACCGAGGTCCGCAGTCCTCGGCACCAGTATGTCATCCTCGACGTTTCGAGCATTTGCCTCATTTACTGTGGACCAAAAACATCAGGTGTGCGTCCTGAAAACGGATTTAGGCACCACTTGTTCCACCTGAGGACATATCCTCATCATCATGTACAGGGTGTCTCAAAAGTTCGTTTACACATTTCCCATGTCAATAAAGCATATAAGAACCGGCCAAAAATCTAAGGTTTTGGTGTCCGTGTGTACACTAGACAAATATGCATGCTTTGACAACTGATTCGGAAGGTTGGAAACCAAACCCTTTGTTGTATCTCCAAAAATATTTGCCCATACCGATTTTCGTCACTCCTTCAGCTGCCGGAGGCTGATAAAAGGTTACCAGCTTTCAAGCTCTTGTAGGGGAATCCCCCGCAGTTTCTGCGTCGGATTTAGGTTTGACGAGCTCCCCGGCAACATCCGCTTCTCCCTGAAAGCCGATAGCTTGCATCGACACCATCCGTGAGCACTTTGTAGGTCTTCTCTGGCGCTAACTCCTTAATGAATGACTGGCGCCGACCTCCCAAGCACCATTTTCCTTTTCAAAACAACCCCATTCCTGAACAAATGGGAAGTGCCAGGGGCAAATTTTTCGCAGCATATCGTAGCAGAATGTGATGGCCATCTGTTTCTTAGACACATTTTGCAAAGTTTGCAAATCCCGAACGCTCGTCATTCCCAATGCCAAGATCTTCGCTAGGTTCCGGAGTGTTTTTCTCAGGAGAGGTTCTGCTTTGTAAACGGCCAAAACCTGTCCATCGTGCGGTTTTGTCCGGATGTTGTGTGTAAAAGAAAGCTGTTTGCTCCAGATCTGCCTCTTGAAACTTCGTTAGATAAAACTTTACATTAATTGACACTTTTGGAGGGTCACTTGTCCTCGGCATTGACGATTTTCGCATTATTTTCCCTCAAAATTTAGCGTTATAGATATTATAAACAATTTAAAATTATATTTTGTCTTTATTTTATGATGACCTGCAATTTTTGAAACTGGGTAACCTCTGTCTGTGAGCTTCTAGTCAGTTTTCAATAGTTAGGACTGCATTTTCAGCTGCTTTCCGGAGCACGAGTCTGCTGCGGTACAAGGGTCGTATAAAGCGCTGTTAGTTTCGCATGGTTTTGTCCTTCAAAAATTTTAGCCACCGTTTTTATTAGATGACCATCATGTTGTACTCATCCTCGCCGACACTTTGCCATGTGTCATTTCCGACCTAACCATTCCCATTACTCGTGAAGCAGAGTTTCTCAGCCGACCCGAGTATGCGACCTCCATTTTCATGCCTGATCCATGGTCAGAGGTGAACCCTTTTTGTGAGCTCATGAAGGGTCGAATGCGCTTGAAAACAATGAAGCTGCTTGAGGAAGGTTGTTACCAATGCCCATGCAAAATTTCGACTGTTAATTTCATGTTGATTCAGAATTATTGATAAAAAAGCATGGGTGGTACCTGTAAGCGAACTTTTGAGACACCCTGTATATATGTTACGGGCCAAGTGCGAAGGCTAGTCCGTTTGCGAACGGACTAGTCCATTCGCGAATGGACTAGGCCGTTTGCGAATGGCGGTCCGTTCGCAAACGGACTAGTCCGTTTGCGAATGGCCGGCCATTCGCGAATGGCCTAGGCCGTTTGCGAACGGACGGGTTTGTGGCGTTGCACTTAGCCGCCGGAAGCATGGATCCTCGGATTGGGGTACGATTCCGAATGAATGGGGGACCGCTGGTCGATGCAGGGGCGTCGCCGACGGGGGGGGTCGGAGGGGTCCGGACCCCCCCCCCCCCCCCCACACACACACACACATTCTTGAAAATATGCCGGTCCGACGCCCCCCTCCCCTCCACACACACACACTTTTGGCCACGGAAATCGATCAAGAATAAGATAAAATATTTTAAAAACGATTTTGGTGCATTCTCAAAATAAAATTGTCTAAATCCGAGGAGTTTTCAGTATTTGGTGGGGATTACTTTGACTGACCGTCCGACCAGATCCCCTAGTCGAAAATCCGTGGCGACGCCACTGCGTCTATATGTTTAGTTTGTTCTCCGGAGCAGATCTGCGAGCTGGCGCAACCCTGGGTTAAGGTCTCCACACACCTGGTCCATTCGGGATGCGACTTTCCGCTGAACCCTGCACAACGCGGAAATTATAGCAACGTGTTGCCGCTGGCCAGGCTTCGGCCACCGATCTAGATCTGGGGAGGTCAAATATCCCCGTGACCTTCGAACAGCGGAGAGTCGCGTGGTGTGCGGAGACCATTAGTACCGTGCTCCGGGCTCCCCGCTGATGACCCGACCTGACCTTGGTCGAGTTTGTGGCGCTCGATTCATTCTGCTATGGTGTGGTGTACCGGGACGGTGCGGCTTGTGTGTGGTGAGTGCGGTGCGGTGAGTGTTCGAAAAACTGTTGTGTTGCATTGCATTTAACAATACGCGCACTGTCACAGATCACGAGAAAACGGCGGCGCGCAGCAAAGCCAAATTTTGTATACCTTTTCTCCCATATTCTGCGCACATTGTGTGAAAATGCTGACTCCAGATGACCTAAGGTCAGGTCACCAGGCCAGGTTAAGTGACGCCGGTTGAGTTACCAATACTTTGCACGCATCATTTCGCACGGGACTTTGCACATGCGAAGTTGACTTGCCAAGTTGACGTCACTTTGCTGGATATTTCGCACTTGGCCTGACTTCGCACTTGGACTGGGAGCATAAACGCCCGTCCATTCGCAAACGGCCTAGGCCAACTGCAATAACGCACATGGACTAGTCCATTCGCAAACGGCCTAGTCCAAGTGCGTTATCGCACTTGGACTAGGCCATTCGCGAATGGATTAGCCTTCGCACTTGGCCCGCAACATATATAATTTCTGACAAGTCGTCTTTCCCTGTGGGGTTGTATATATGGGCAAATACGAGCTGGAGTCGTGGAAATAAGAGCCAGGAAGAAATGGGTGGGACTAAATGCTTACTTCGAAATCTAAGCTACGTTGCGGCATTGGCGGTTATGTGCGGCGTGTATGCCGCATGATTAGTAAGCGGCTCTCTCTCCAAACAGTCTTTCGATTGTCTGGAAATCGTATGCTAAATCCCGTACCTGTATGCGACTGGTGCATATAAAGGCCGATAAAAGAATTTGAATAGGCTCTGGCATGCGATTTCCTGGCTACCCAAAAAAGTCTGTTTCAGTCTTGCTATCAAAACATGACCTCGCCCGCACAGGGGGGGGGGGTTGATGCAACCCCCCTGAGGTTTTTCGCGAATAACTCGCTTAAAAAGCGGCTGATCGCGACGAAACTTTCAGTACCCTCGCATTGATCAATTTAACACCCATCCTGAAAATTTCATGACCCTGACCCAAATGACCTTTGACCTGTGACCTACTTTTCGAGACCATGTTTGGCCGGAACCGCGATTCAGCGTATGTCGGCTCGCATTAGCAGCGCGTTTGCAGTCTTTTCGTGGTTTCAAGCGTTCAAACATGTGATATGATGTTGCCCCTATGCATTAGGGTGGGTGTCAAGGTCACCTGAAGGTCAGGTCAGGTCATTGACCTTTGGTGACCTCGGTTCACTTTTTCGAGTTTGACATGTTTCTAGGTCAGTTTTTTTCGAGCTGAATTCGAATTAAGCAACCACATGAACGTTTACAAAGTAGTTTTGGTGCCTTCGTAACATGTTACGAGGCTGTCAGAGGCGGTTGACACTTACTACAAATACCTGGCAGGACCTCTACTGGTTGACCTGACCTGACCTAACCCGACCTGGCCTAAATGAATGAAGACATCATCTGTGATCAAAACTAGCATGATATTCGTGATCAGCACCCCGAAAAACCCCATAGCAGCCACACTACGACGTTCTAACAGGTCCCAATTTTCCCGCCTTTTGGGTCATTGACCTGACCTGGAAGGTCAACCGATGACCTAGGACCTTAAAATTGGGTATCATCGGCTTTCTCTCGTCACGGGCAACACGCTCGCTTTTTCCGCGAAGCTCTAGCTTGATCAGGAGCGAAACGGCAAGGGGTTATACCTTATACGTTCGCGGCTGAGTATTAATTTGGTTCAAAACAATGATGTAGATAAGTTAGTTATTTAAATCTAAATATCCTATGACGAGAGCGATGGACATTTTTGGTATGCAGTGTTATCCATTGAAAACAGGTCAAAGCTATTGAGTTTTTAATTTAGTGGTCGCCGCTTACTAATCATGCGGCATACACGCCGCACATAACCGCCAATGCCGCAACGCAGCTTAGATTTCGAAGTAAGCATTTAGTCTCACCCGGAAGAAATAACTTAGCATATGCCGAAGTATGCCTTTAGCATTAGCGCGAGCGTGCGGTAAAAGCTTTTTGGATTAAACCGCATAATGTTGAAGACAATTGGACAAAGGTTTCGGCCCATGGGCAAAACATTTTATCAGCGAACTTTTGAAGCATTTCCTGAGACGGAGGAAGGCGCTGGAAAAGAGGTTAACTGATAGAAATCTAACGTGAACTTACGTGTTGCATTTGGTCGCTTTGAACTATTGAACTGAGGCCTGTTTCACTAAAAACTTGTAATAACAAGTGTTTGTAGTTTACAATTCATAAGTATTTTTACCAACTACGTAAAAACCGATTTCACTAAGCTTCATCGCCAGTGGCACCTCCGATAAGAAAATGTTTGCAAATAAACTTGTAAACAGTAAAATTCTTTTTAATCAAGAACTATAGCATGTTAAAGATATTGCATCTTTTTATTAAATTTTGTCTAGTATTCATGTCAAAAGCTGCCTAATTAAATTATAAATAATGATGCTGTTGGAAAAAGATATAAATGATAGTTCGCATTATCCTATTATTGAAAGAAAACACGCAAAACATTTGACAGCAGAAGACTGTTGAATGCAATTATGACGCGCGAATGACAAAACATGACGATATTTTAATACCGATTATTTTGCTTCTTAGGGTGTGTGCTAAGTAAAAGTAGAGCATGAAACGACTCAACAAAGCATAGTTCTAAATATATGACTGTTTTGCATTATTGCACAAAAAGTATCAAAATTCCGAACGTCAGGACCACTGGAATTTCAGGTTTGTAATTACGATGTTCTCTTTCAAGTTTCTGGTCTTCGTGAAACAGAAAGTTTGCGATTCCCATGTTTTCTAGCAAACTCTTTCTTGAAAAAATGTTTGCAAATTTTAAACTCAAAATTCATGTCCAAAGGTTTCGTGAAATTCAAATCTCAAATGTTGGTAATTATTTCTTGTAAACTCAAGCTTTTTCTTTGTAATTACAAGTTTTATTTGTTAGTGAAACAGGCCTCTGATTGTAAATGTTGGTTTTCAATAACATTATATTTTAAATCCTAATGTACAGACATACCTATTAGTTAATCACCTACATTTATGGCGTCAATTTCATGCCTTTTACAACTGCAATGAATTGACAAAAAAAAAAACGCATTTCACATTGATCAGTTAAAACTTTATTCAAACTGACATGGGTAAAAAACCAAGCGCTCACTTCACAGGATGGTATACCTTCCACTCTTCTCTAACATTGAAAACGAACGTTACTCTAGCTTCTCATATGACATATGAAATAGATGTTCTTGGTTTGATATGAATCCAACTCAGAGCCAGACAAAAGGATGGAACACAGTGATCTTGAGTCGGCTTGGTTTATTATCTTAAGGTCATCATCAATAGGATTGACTGCCCTTACCTGATGGCAATCTTCGGACTAGCAGTCCCCAGCAGACGCTCTCGACAGACAGGGCTGTTCCACGTACCGTTCGGTCGCGTGGACACTGTGAAGTCAGGGTTCACTGTCCGTATCCCTGTGCTATGTAACCGCTTCTTGCAACATACACCCACCGCTGACATGTTGGCATCATCGGGCTCCGTTTTATCGGACATCCGTGAGTTTGCTCGTTCTCAGGGAACGTACATGTAATGTGTTGTCATCGTTGTGTGCATGTGTTGTGTTGTGTTACCTACTTTAAATTGACTGCCACTGTAAATGGGCTGCAAGGCCTGTAGTCGGTTAATGCAAATACAGAATACAGAATACAGAATACAGGTCAGGGAATATGTACATTTTTTAGTTCTTGATATTCGTTCTTGGTTTTTTCACTTCTTTCAAGCATGTACAATTGTTAAAGAAGCTTAAATATGGAAATTAAACGGCATATGCTAAAATAAATATCACACTTGGGCCGGAATGTTTCATTCAGGACCTCGGGCCATGGGTGTCGTTTTGTATAGGCATGGTAGGGCCCGAGCCCTACCAATAATTTTGGAAATTTAACATTATGCCTATGGCGTTGCGTGGAAAGAATCGCTTTGAATTGGCAAAAATTTACATTAGAGCCCTACCAATAATTTTCGGAAAGTGTCGCCCCTGCCTCGGGCTTTGTTGAATTTTCCGCCCTCGACCTTCGGTCTCGTGCGGAAAACTCAACAAATCCCTTTACCGGCCCCGTGTGATATTATATATGAATAAAATTAATCGTCTGTGAAATCAATGTGCGCCAGTCAGTTTTCTCAGTAATTCGGCTAGCTATTCTCGTGCTGTGTTCAAAGAGACGATTACAGTGAGGGTCGAACTTAAAAAAAAACGAATTATAGTCATTCTTACGCGAAAACAAGCTTACAAATATTCGGAATATTGGGGGTTACTGTACCCCCCAGGTAAATTATTGGGGGGTCCGGACCCCCGCGTACCCTCCTGTGGCGGAGCCCCTGCTTCTTGGTTAACTGGCTGAAAAAGCTAATTCATTTGGAACCGCAACATCATTCAGGTATGTTACGGGATCAACCGTGCAGGGGCCAAGGGCTGCATCCAAAGCTGGGGCTACTTTAGCGTAATACCGTAGTTTCGTGCAACCTTTGCCACCGATGGCAACTTTGGCCCACGCCTGGAAAAGGACTGTTGTGCTGTAGCTTTCTACACTTACCTAGTGCAGAAAAGCTGTTGTAATGGTTCGGTAAGACTGTTCATCGGTTACCTTCAGAAACAATCCTGAGTTGGTCCTAAGGCCAAGTTGAAGGGCTAGGAGAGGTTAAAACAACCAGTGGCGTATCCAGGGGGGAGGCCAAGAGGCCATGGCCTCCCCCTTTGGCATCAAACATGCAAGTGGGCCCTTTGGGTCACTTGAGTGCAGTGACGTACCCAAGGGGGCCATAGGGGCCCTGAGGGGTGCCCTGGTTACCTGAGGGTCCCCCTGGTCACCTGAGGGGTCCCTGGTTATCTGAGGGCCCCTGGTTATCTGGGGGCCCCTGGTTACCTGAGTGGCCACTGGTTATCTGAGGGGGCCCTGGTTATCTGAAGGACTCCTGGTTACCTGAGGGGCCCCTGGCTACGGGGGCCCTGTTTATCTGAGGGGCCCATGGCTACCTGAGGAGCCCCTGGTTTCCTGAGGAGCCCCTGCTAACCTGAGGGGCCCCTTATTACCTAAGGAGCCGTGATTGCCTGAGAGCCCCCTGATTATCTGAAAGGCCTCTAGTTACCAGTGAGGCCTCTTGGTATATGAGGCCCCCGGTTATCTGACGGGCCCCTGGCAATCTGACGGGCCCCTGGTTACCTGAGGGGCCCCTAGCTATCTAAAGGCTGAAACAGACTCTTTCCGCGTTCAGGAAATCGCATGCGAGAGCCTATACAAATACATTATAATTCTTCTCGCATCAATCGCATCCGGGAGGTGCGTGCGATTGATGCGAGTGTGCTTCCATGTATTTGAATAGGCTCTCGCATGCGATTTCCTGACTGCAGAAAGAGTCTGTTTCAGGCATAAGGGGCCCCTAGCTACCTGAGGGGCCCCTGATCCCCTGGGTGACCCCTGGCCAGTGATCTGAAGAAACCCTGGTCACCTGAAGGGCCCATGTTTACCCGGGGAGTACCTGGTTATATGAAGGGCCCCTGCAGTCACATAAAGGCCCTTTTTTACCCGTGGAGCCCCTGGCATAACCGTCCCCTGGTTATTTGAGGGTCCCCTGGTCACCTGGTGGGCCCCTGGTCAATTGAAAGGTCCCTGGTCAATTGAAAGGCCCTGGTCAATTGAAAGGCCCCTGGTCACCTGAGAGGCCCCTGATTACCTGAACGGCCCGTGATCACTCGGATTCAATGATATGGCCAGTGGCGAGGGGGCACGTGACCGTTATAGGGTTTAGGGTCCCCTCGGGCCCGAGAGGCCCTGCGGTGCCAATTGGCGGCAGAGGGCCCGCGCTGGCAACGCTTCAACTGGAAAGGAGACCACAGGGCTTATGAGAACAACCCATGGGCTCTTGTGTAGCCACACTTATCTCCAGAAGGGCCTCACGCCAGATTCTGAGGGACCTTTCCGGCCCTGAGGGCTCTTGCCGGCCACTAAGGGATCAGCTGTAATTAGGGCCCCATGCCCGTTTGCTATGGCCCCACGGCCTACACCGGTGTTTCTGAGGGCCCTCACAACGGCGCCTGCGAGGACCTCCACTGCCACCTCTAAGGGCCCCACACTGACACCAGTGTCTCTTAACCCTAGAACGCCTAGGGGGGGTTGTATCAACCATAGGCGTCGCCAGAGATTTTCGGTTGGGGGGGGGCAAAATCAACTTTTGTGTTAAATCTTGCCTTTCCCCAGTCGTTACTCACTCGTTTTACATATCGTTCGACGCGCAATGGTGCGAAGAATTCGATGGTGACAAAGTTTTCCTTCTAGCTATGACATGCAACTTTTTTACAGAGAAATTCGAAATTTTCAAATTTCTGGACAAAAACGACCGGTAGAATTACAGTGGCTGCGTTGCCGACGCACTGCAGAGGGCCCTTGTGCAGACTCTCGTCGCTCATGATCATTACCCAGAAAAAGGTGACAAACGCTCCATTTAATCCGATCACCCTGCTAAAACCTCCATTCACGCATGCATGCAGAGGTTTTACGTGAAGATGAGCTTCCCTCGGAGTCCAGTCTGATGTTCATGGAGTGGCTGAAAGGTCTGGAGCTGCTCCAGCAGATTCACATTCCCCGCGGCTACTCGACTGAGGGCTGGAACCGTGGTGCTGGCGTTTCGATTCACGCCTTCGGTGACGCCTCTCCTAAGGGCTACGGGGCAGCGGTCTACCTCCGGATCTCCCAGTCAGATGGCTCTATTGAGGTGACCTTGGTCATGGCCAAGGCGAGGTTGGCGCCACTGAAGAGTGTTACTCTGCCACGACTTGAGCTACTGGGAAGTCTGCTGGCTGCACGCCTAGCCGTTCTTGTGAGGCAGGCTCTGAGGCTTCCTGATGACACAGAGACTCGGTGCTGGACAGACTCGATGATCGCACTAGGATGGATCCGTGGCGAACCTAGGCGATGGAAGCAATTTGTTGCAAATCGAGTGACGGAGATACAGGGTCTGACCGCTCCGTCGGACTGGTCTCATTGTCCAGGTGAGGAGAACCCAGCAGATCTGACGACCCGCGGAGTATCGGCTGAATGTCTGAGCGGATCGGAGCTGTGGTTCCGTGGTCCCAGGTGGCTGGCTACGCCTCAGGCTCGTCCTGGGGCTGATGAGTCAGTGCCTCTCGTGTCCAGTGAAGAGCTGCCGGAGGCAACACTTCTGTCGTGCGAGCTGGATGATGCCGGTGTCTCGGTGGTTGGGAGCGCCGGCCTCCCAGCTCTGGTGACTGCGGCACAGTGCCCCAACATTCGACTGCAGCCGCTGGTCGTCTATGAACAAGGCGGTCAGAGTGGTGGCTTGGGTGAACCGCTTCCGCCACAACGCGCGGTCTGGGCGTCACAATCGGTCCACTGGCGATCTCTCGGCCGTGGAGTTGGTGGCGGCCAGGCACCTGCTGCTGCGAGAGGAACAACGACTGGCCTTTGCAGCGGAGTTCAGCGCCCTACAACGGGGCAAGCCAGTACCTAAAGGTTCGAGGGTATACCGTCTGTCCCCCTTCATAGGCGACGAAGGGCTCCTGAGAATCGGGAGCAGGCTTCAGGAGTCTGAGTTGACCAGTGAGGAGCGACACCCTGTTTTGCTCCCAAAGGGACGGGTGGCCGAACTGCTGGTGTGGGACCAGCATCGTATGATGTGCCACTGTGGTGTGTCTACTCTGATCACTGCACTCCGAGCGGCCTTTTGGATCGTGGGTCTCCGCTGCCTGGCAAAGCGCATCAAACGCTCGTGTTTGGTTTGTCAGCGGCAGGATGCTCTCCAGTGTAACGAGCCGGCGGCGCCGCTCCCTCGCGACAGGGTAACCCGTGCGCCGCCGTTCTCGGTCACAGGAGTGGATTTCGCGGGGCCGATTTTCGCGGTGGACTGCCCGCGAAGAAAGTTCTATGTGTGCCTATTCACCTGCGCTGTGACACGCGCAGTGCATCTGGAGTTGACAGGATCACTGTCACAGGCTGACTTCTTGATGGCGCTCAGACGTTTCGCTGCCAGAAGGACTCTGCCGTCAGTTATCTATTCAGATAACGCGCGAACGTTCAGCGGAGCCGATCAGCTGATGCAGCGGTACTTTGGACATCTCGCTCCCCGGTGGAAGTTTATCGTGCCAAACTCACCGTGGTGGGGCGATTGGTGGGAGCGACTGGTGCGCTCCGTGAAGGTGGGACTCAGGAAGTCGCTCGGCACAAGATGTCTCACTCAAGTGGAGTTAGAGACTGTGCTGACTGAGGTCGAGTCATGTGTGAATTCACGTCCACTGACTCAGGTGACTGACGCGATCGACTGCGAGAGTCCGCTAACGCCCAGTCATTTCCTCACTGGACGTGGCGCCGGCTTCCAGGCCAGGCTGCTGGAGGATCCAGAAGCGGTAAGTGGTAGAGCGCTCTCCGACAGGGCTAGGGTACGCGAGAGGCGTCTGAACCGTTTCTGGACGGTCTGGAGGGATGTATATTTACGGAACCTCCCTCACTCGGTGCGCAAGTTTTCGCATCAAGGCCAGCTACAGCCGGGGTCGGTGGTGCTCGTCAGGGAGGATAACGTTCCCCAAATGAAGTGGGTGATGGGGACCGTCACTAAGCTGTTCCCTGGCAGAGATGGGGTGACCAGGTCTGCTGAGGTTCGAACCCAGGGAGGGCACTTGAGGACCCGGGCAGTCCAGAGACTCTATGACTTGGGACTACTCGACTGATGCCCTCCGCCTGACAGCAGCAGGCTGTGCGCTCCTCTTCTTACCTCTGTCCCCTCATAGACAGTTCGAATGAGAAAGGGCTGGACGGATTGAGGCAAAATAGGTTTGGATTGTCAAGGCAATCCAAAGGCGGGGAGGATGTTGTGAATTTAGTTGTGACTCGCTATTAGATCTGCGTCGTTTTGTTGTGTTGCATTTAATTGATGTCACGGATGTGCGAATTGGAGTTGAGTGTTTTTGCCGCGTTGGGAGGTGCGGTCGTGGTGAGCCACGTGATCTTTGTCAAGGCTGGTATTTTGCGCCTTATTGTTGTTGTCGGCTAGTTTCGAGTGATTCTGAAGTCTGAAGTTCTTGATCGGACGTTTTGTTCTTTTTTGGCTGAAATCGATGCTTGAAGTATTCTCTTTTCAACATGGGTTTCAATACAGAGTGTGATTTAATTCGTTACAGAGACAAAAGGAAGACGACGAATGACGTAGGCACTGCCTTCCTTGCTTATATGGGAGAACCGCCCCTGGCTAATACATTGAAACTCAGTTTGACATACAGACATCTCATCGATCACTGCACACCTCTTTCCTTGGGTATATATCCTCAAGCTTTCAAGACAGCTGTTATCAAACCGATATTCAAAAACAAGGGCTCACCATCAGATCCAACAAGTTACCGGCCAATAAGCATTTTATCAGCAGTCTCCAAGGTCTTCGAAAAAAAAATCAAAAAACATTTACACTCACATTACGAGCAATTCCCTTCTAACAGAGAAACAAAGTGGCTATCGCAAGAACCACAGCACTGAACTCCAATTAGGGTAGACCGGGGCAAGTAGCCCCGCCGAGGTAAAACGCCTCACCGATGTTTCTCGGAACTGGCAAGGTTCTGGGGAAACATCCTGTCTTCTATAATACGTGCAGTATATGATCATTATATGAGCAGAGTGGAAAGAAATTGTTATAACTCTTTGGAGAGATATAGCCAAAAATGTGTTTTTGGAGTGATTTTTATGTTTTGTTGTCTGATTATGCATCATGGCGTTCTTTTATGGTCCACATCAGGTTAACGACTTTTATGTATTCTGAACAACTATTGTCTAACGCTTATAATGCCGGGTTGGTTCGTGTTAAATTATGTCTTGCTAGAGCGCAAGGCGTTGTTCTCTGATCGATTTAAGTGATGGGGTAAAACGCCCCAGTAGGTCGCAGGACAAAAAGCCCCATGGGGCGTTTTACTTCATGTGTTTTTCGGACTACTCACTTTCTAATGTTCGGTAGCTGGCGAACAGTAAGTGTCTATGCCTTTATATGTATTTTTCTCAGCAGCTGGAAGACAAAGGAAGTATTTTGTTAACATTTGCATTGCAATAATTTATTATTTGGCCTTAGGTGGCAGGTGAAAAGCCTGCTCATACAATAGTGTCATAGCTGAACACCTGATAGTAGGGTAAGGTGCCTAATTAGCGACCCTTTCCGATTTGCGACCTACCTCCCTACAGAAAAACTGGCAGGAGAAAGCGGGGTAAAAACATCGTCAAAATGTCAGCCATACTTTGGTTATCAAATTAAATTATTTTCCGGTCGTCGATGTTTCTGGTGGGACGTTTCAGGTGAGTTTAAATAAAATTGACGAGTTTCTTATCCAAAAAGTGTGTGTTTGGGCTCTCTCTGATGAAAAGCGATGCACATTAGGATGATGCACTTTTTTATTCTGAATCGACATTCCTTTTTCAATTGATTGCCGTTTTCCCATAGTGAATCGCTCAACTGTGCACAGCATGGCGGTTAAAAATGTGTCGCAACTCATATTTCCTATTTGCGCCTGACATGGTCGCAAATAGCTCAAGAAGGGAAAGAAAGGGGAAAAGGGAGAAATGAAAATGAGGTGTTGCTGAAGCTTGCAATGTGTGGCAGGGGATGCCAAATGTCGTCACCGACTGCAGGGGTGCCGAATTCAGCGCGGACCTCAAATATCATACGAGATAGCCCGCAAAATTTGGGTTTCCGCCTTCTTTTCGCCTTCAGTACATCACGTACTGAAGTTTTTACTTACGTAAATGTGTTGGATAAACGTGCATGTTCGAGTGATTGAGTGCTTTGCGTATAGGTTACCTTTTTGAGATCATATTTCATCTTTTCAGGCGTCGCATTTTTTGCCATTTTTAATATGGGGAAACCCATAGACTTATTAGCGACCCTCCCCGGTCGCTAATCGGGAAGAGTTCCCTATTAGCGTTTTTTGCAATGGTCTGCCAAAATGCTCACTACAAATAAGTTAGTGAATATTGGGGCAGAAAATGACTATATTTTAATAGAAAAATGAACGATCTCTCCGAAAATCAAGCCAGTAATACAGTGGCACCCACAGAGCGTGAGCAATGGCGGTTCAAATTAAGGGGGTCGCTAATTAGGCACCTTACCCTATGGAATGTGCTAACCTCAGTGCCGTGCCTCCCAAGGTCTAACAGACCTCTCATATAATATTTAAGTCAACTAGCATGTTTAATCTTTAATCTAGAGTATGGGGCTTCTTGCCCCAGGCCGTGGGGCGTTTTGCCCTGGGGTTGGGGCAAAATGCCCCATTTGCAGTTGCTTCACAAATCACTTCCTAGCTTGGAGTCCGATCATAAGTGAATGAATTTGAGGGGTGGAATTTAAAGTAAAATGTCCAAAGAACGCATTGAGCACAAATTTCGCCATCCAGGTGATGTGGGACAAAAGTTATGTAGCAAAATAAATTATCTGGGCGTCTTGCCCCAGGCTACCCTACACTACTTAAAGGTAGTGTGCCACCTTCGAATGATTTCCCATTTTATTTTTCCTAGTATAAGAAGCTTCTGTTTTTACCTAATATCGCAAAAAAATCAAAAATGGGCCTGGAATGGTGCCTTTTTTTGCCTAAAAGTTTATCGATTTTCGATATGTATAACAACTGTAGTGGGCTGACCTGCAAACAGGCGTCGGCAACAATCGCGAATGCGGCGCACATGTGACAATAAGCAAAGGTCATTATAGAGTTACGACGTACGGGAATGAGTTATCAGCTGTCTAATCGTAGACAACACAATGTCGAACTTAAACTGTAAGCTGTATTGGTATTGTTTCTTTAATTTGGCTGTCGAACATTAATTTATGGTTTGAAATATCATTTTATGTAAAATAATTGATATGAAACAGCCGTCTCTTAAGTTATGACCCCATTTCACCACACGCAAGTGGCAGAAATGACAATGATCAGCTGACGCATTTTTATTGGCCGAAGTCAGAGCACGCGGCCCGACGCACCACCACCGCACCACAAAGTATGAGCAGAAGCCGCGCCCAAAGCCAGGGCCCCGGTAACGTGAGGTAGCCGAGTCGGGGCAGCGTGCGCTGACCCAAGCCGGGGCCGCGGCTTTGGGCGCGGTCTACCGCATCTCCGCGGGCAGCCCCGGTCTATCACATGACACCGGGAGGACGCGCGGCCCCGGCTTGGGTCAGAGCACGCTGCCCCGACTCGGCTACCTCACGTTACCGGGGCCCTGGCTTTGGGCGCGGTCTACCGCACCACCTAACAGGCGTGTTCGAAACCGCAGGAGATGATGATGAACGGGTTTATCGAAACTTGATTGGATGAGCCTATCGGTAATAGCGATTTCAGTGTGTGCATTTATTGTTCATAGTGGTGTGAAATGTGGTTGGGGTACGACCGACAACCCGTCGGGGCGAATTTCGCACTGGGGTACTCAAAATTTGAAGAATTTAAGACGTTTTCATGAGTTTTGAAGGTATGGATAAGTTCTAAAAATCCGGTTCTCCTTATCTGGGCCATTAACTCCATACGGTCCAGGAAAGCTGGCACACTACCTTAAACCCATTACTTGTACAATCTCTTGATTCCGGCCTCGACTTTACTGCAGTCTACCTAGACATTTCAAAATATTTTGATAAAATCTGGCACAAGGACTATTGTTTAAATGTCAACATGAATTTGGAATCTCTGGTAAACTTCTTCAATGGCTCAACTCTTACCTGAACAACAGAACGCAACAAGTGAAAATTCAAAATGCTGTTTCTCATTCTCGCAAAATCAACGCAGGCTGTCTCCAGGGATCAGTTTTAGGACCTTTACTAGCGCTTATTTACCTGAACGACCTTTCTGACCGCACCGACAACGTTATGCTATTTTTCGTGGACGACACATCATTACACGCATCTCACTCATCAGCAACATTACAACAAACACAACTCTCGTTACAACGCGACCTGGACAAAATCTGCAAATACGGAGAAACATGGGCAATCACGTTTAACGAAACTAAAACCATACAACAGACCAGGGCCCAATCTTGCGTGTGCTAAGTGTGTGTGTGCGTGCGTGCGTGCGTGCGTGCGTGTGTGTGGTGTTTGTGTGGAACTTTGACTGCAGCCGTAACTGGGCATTGGCCTGTGGTTGTTTTTAGAGAAATAAACAAATAAACAACTGCTTATGTAAGCCTAATCCACGCTGAATTATATAATTTATATTGCCGCCCCTTTTGGAGTGAAATGGAAGTGAAGCTCAAGCCCCTGCCAGCCCACTCCCCTCTGGATCCGCCGGTAGCCGGAGGCCATAACAGGCTGTCTGCCCGTGACTCTGAGTAGGCTGACAACTTGGCTGCAGCTGTAAGCGCGGATGGAGTCTCTCCCATTGCGCAATGCGCCGCCGGCCGCACGGAGCGGTGGCCGCGGCCACCGGCTCGCACAGTCGCCACCGGGACGCCAGGCTCCTGCAGCGCTTGCTTACGTTATTGGCTGCTGCGCAGCTGGGGCGTTGCGTCGTTGACGTCTGGTTTGCGGCGGTGGGCGGTGGGCGCGCCGCGCCGCGGCAGCCGCGCGGCTCCTCTGCGTCTGCAGCTACCGGGCGGCAGTGCGACGCAGCGTGGGAGCTGAGGGAGCTGGACGGCGGCAGCGCGGCCAACGTGAGAGCTGAGGGAGCTGGACGGCCGCTGATCGCGGACATAACGCAACCGGCACGCGCCAGTTCAGGTTAGCGCACCAAGTGAAGTTCTACTAGCTGCCACGTCCATCAATTAAGCTGCAGATTGATATTCGCGAATATCCAGCTAAGAATTTGATATGGGGACGGGGAACGCAATAACTCAGAAACCGTTTTTGGCAAGTAGACACTCATTGGATCCTCCATTCCTAAATGCAGGTTAACAGGGATTTTTAGGTCACTAGGTCATGACCTTTTTAAGGTCAATGTTAACGGGAAACGCTTTATAGCCAAAAGTTTTTGTCTGATTGGCTTACAAATGGTCTCCATCGATCCCTCGACTCCGATTCTTGCCGGCAACGATCTTCAGGTCAAAAGGCCATGACCTCCAACGTCAAATTAAGGTCAAATGTAGGGGAACGCTCTACAGCCTAAAGTATCTGTCTGATTGGCTTACAAATGGTTTCAATCGATTCCCCAGCCCCGATTCCTTGAAGGTCATAATCTAGTGACTTGAAAATATTTGTAAATTGGAATCGGGGTCGGGGAATCGATTGAGACCTATTGCAAGCCAATCAGACAGTAAATTTAGGCTGTAGAGCGTTCTCCGTCCTTTGACTTTCACTTTCGCCTTGCAGTTCATAACCCAGTGACCTGAAAATCCTTGTGAACCTGCGTACGGTCCTTCCTCAGGTCCTTGTGAACCTGCGTACGGTTCTTCCTCAGGTCCTTGTGAACCTGCGTACGGTCCTTCCTCAGGTCCTTGTGAACCTGCGTACGGTCCTTCCTCAGGTCCTTGTGAACCTGCGTACGGTCCTTCCTCAGGTCCTTGTGAACCTGCGTACGGTCCTTCCTCAGGTCCTTGTGAACCTGCGTACGGTCCTTCCTCAGGTCCTTGTGAACCTGCGTACGGTCCTTCCTCAGGTCCTTGTGAACCTGCGCTGAGGAACGGGGAATGCAGTGAGCGCCTTATCATTGAAATCGGCTGATTGGTTAATGAGTTATTGCGTTCCCCGTCCGAATGTCAAATTCTTAGTTGGATATTCGTGAATATTAATATGCTACTTATAGGAACCCTCCCACCTTCAAAAAGCTAATGAATTGGCGTAAAAGTGATGTACCGTGGTTCAGAATAAGCAAAAATAAATATCAACCAATTTTGACAGAAAAAATATTCACCAGTTTTCAAGATAAAACGCTATTAACCCGCGCCCCAGTGGCGGTCTCAGCCAACTTCGCCCTAGTGTGTGTGTGTGGGGGGGGGGGGGAGGGGCATAAGTTACCACCCACTTCTAACTCAAAAACTAAGAGGGCTAGAAAGGCGTGGTAAAAAGAAGTCGATAGTTCTCAATGCGTATGTTTGAAAGTATTTCGATCATTTTTCATCTTAGAGCAATATTGGGGTCACTGGAGCTCATCAAAGGTCAAAATTTGCCAAATAACATTATATTTTTTTTTTTAGAAAACATTTATCTCATTTATCTCAGGAACTATCATAGCTAGAAAAACACATGTAAAAGTAATCGATAGCTATTGAACTCTTCTTTCGATAGGGTCATCATCAAAATTGACCTCAGGTCAATGGTTTAGCCTCCAAAGGGCAAAACTACAAAATAGCTGTTTTTTATGAAAAGTGTTTTTCAACAATAACTTTTGACCAAAAAACGCCATGACATTTCTATTGCCAGAATCATGTTCCTCTCGCTGAGACGCGTCGAATGAATTATAATTTGACCTTGAAAGGTCAACTGGAAAATTTGACCTCAGGTCTGACCTGACCGGAAAGGTCATGTTGCATATCAATCGATGCGTCTCGGCAAGACAAACACAATGAGACCGTCCCCAGCGTTCTATCTCTTTCCAATCGCGAGTTATTGGCAAAAATCTGTTTGTAGCCTCAAATGACCTCGGATGACCTTTCTAGAGGCTGATCAGCAAAAAAAAAAACACCTTGGTCGTCACGGGTGGTTCAAATCATTGTTATTCTGAAATATTTGGACTGTTCCTATGCGTACACACGGATCTAGAGGCATTTTCATTTTTCTCCATTGACATATAATGGTAAGGTCACGCCACTGGCCTGACCTTAGGTCACGGATATAAAAATTCGAGATATTCAAATTATAGGCGCCCATAACATCATGCAATCCACCAAGTTTAAAATCTTTCTGTTCTGACAAACACTGCAGGCTGAGTGGACATGATTGCATTTTTTTTTTTGCTTGGTTAGTTAACTTGACCTGGTGACCTGACCTGACATGACCTGGGGTCAAAAATTTCACACATTGTCCAAAATTGATGTACAAAAAAGCTACTCCAAGCGGCGCGGCGCTATGCGCCGCGGTTTTTTATTCACACGCAAAAAAAGCAACAGGGTGGTAACACATGCTCCCCCCACTGGGGCGAAGGTCAAGACTATTCTGTATTGTTGGGGACCTCCGCTGCTCCTATGACGTCATTTGGGAACAATAATTTGGCATCCTAAAAGTGCGGCAGGTATTGTGTGCAAAGCAGTATATACCACCACGTTTTACTAAAAGGCTTAGTAAAAGCTTTAAAAATCTTTAGATCTGCGCTGACATCACAAATTCTAAGGGAGCATTCCAATGCATTAGCCTCTCAGAGTCCGAAAACTGCAGACTTTGAACTTTAATATCTCGGAAATAAGGCATTTCTCGATGCTGTGAGTGCCCAAACCGGTAACTGCAAGCCAGGGAACCCAATTTGACGATCTCAACTCAAAACTAATGTTAACCCTCGCCCGTATTGGTGTTTTACCAAACGCAAACGTATAAGGGGGGGGGGGGGTCCGTTGGACCTCCCCTTGCTGTTTCACCCTTGATCGAGCTAGAGCTTCGCGGAAAAATCGAGCGTGCTGCCCGTGACGAGCGGAAGCAGTTGATACCCAATTTTAAGGTCCTAAGTCATTGGTTGACCTTCCAGGTCAGGTCAATGACCCAAAAGTCGGAAAAATTTAGACCCGTCAAAATGTCGTAAACCGTGGCTGTTATGGAGTTTTCCGGGGTGCTGATCACGAATGTCATGTTAGTTGCGATCACAGATTATGTCTTCATGCATTTTGGTGAGGTCGGGTCAGTTCACTGGTCAGGTGAGCCTGTGTGAGCACAAGGAGCTCCATGGCGCCTGTGTGAGCACTAGGCACACACAGGCGCCATCGAGCCCCTTGGAGCTGGCCTTGTGCTTGACCTGGCAAAAAGGTCATTTTACTGTTTTAATCTGTATGAAGTGTGAGTGAGCACTGGGTGCATGTTGCCCAAGTGCTTTACCTGGCAGATGGGTCATTTTACCATGTTTAAACTTGTGTTTGGTGTGAGTGGGCACTATTCCTTGCTTACTGGCACCATGATGCGGTATCTGACTAGGTGTGCTGTTTGGGCTACGTGTGCAACTTGCTTCTCTTAATCGGATAGGTTCACATCAAATCTACGATAAAATCCATCTATTGGGTTGCCTACATTTGTGCAATATTTAGCTATTGGAAGTTACATATGATAAGCTTGAAAGCACGCCACACAGCCATTGTTTGCTTTCCTCAACATTCATAATCTCATTTTTCTTTTTATTTTCTGTATCCTCAAATTATTTTCCTAATAAACTTTAACATTCATAGCCACTGTGCTCTCATCCTGCACCCCCTCCCCACTTCCCTGTCAGCTCGCCCTTAGATCTGATGCATAGATTGCAGTATCTATGTACCACACATGGTGACATTATGTCACTCCCACAGACACACGTGAGCAGCAGCCTTTGTCTGGCTTTGAACATTGTTGCTTCTTTTATACCTACCCCCTGGACCTGTTCAGCGGTGCTTCTGCACTTTGTTTCTGGCCGCGCTGCCGTGGCTGGTTGCGGTTGCGGTGGCTGAGTCCGGACTGGGCCCGTCCTCCGACCCTAATAGGCACCTGACTTGCCTCAGCGCCATCTACGTGAAACTCCCTAGATGTCGCTGTCCTCTCGGCCTCGCGGATTGTCTCCCATTCGTGTGGACTGTGGAGGCCTGTTGAGGCCTGTGTGTAACCGGCGATAATGACTGCATACTTGCCTACGCCCACTGCATACCTTGGTTTCTATTTCACTTATACTGAGGAGTGCCAAACGCCTTCTGGTGTTACTTGGTAACATGGTTAGCTCCCTTCATGGAAATTATCTAATGTCACCAGCTGACTACTGCACAAACCACTCCGTAATATGTGCTATGTAGTAAAAGCGTCTGGGTGAAAACAGTGCATGATATTGCGCGGGGTGCAGAATTAGGAAGGAAAATGATGTAAGTTTGGTGTCGTGTCGTGTTGGGCGGCCTTGGTGTTGGGGGAGAGAGCATGAGGGATTGAATGGCAATGCATATTTGTGGACTGAATCGAATACAGTAAAGATAACGAACGGGGTAACATATCTACCACAAGCTATTTCGGCTTTCTATGACGAGCACTACCTACTTACCTCACCATGGCGACATTTGATGTTCGGTTAGTACCCGAATTCAGCGGTGTCGATGGTGATCTGTCTGTAGCCGAGTGGTACAGTGGATCGGATAAGCGACGTGGATCTGCAAACTAAACAAAGTCACCGATCTGGCTCTTGTCATGCCTCTCCGTCTTACTGGCCATGCATATAGAATATATGACCAGCTTGAAGAAAAAGACAAGTTGGATATCGAGGCGGTCAAGCGGTCATTATTCAAAGCGTTCGAGGCAGATCCATTTAGAGCGTACGAGCGACTCCACGACCGCCGTCTTGAACGAGGAGAACCGGTGGACGCCTATCTTGCCGATCTGAAGCGCCTGGCTACGCTAGCTGGAGGCCTAAGTGTGACAGGGGCGTCAGTCTAAAATATAACGTCATGTTCATGCATGATTTACTAGGTGTTGCAAAATACGAGTATAAGAACCATTTTTCATAAAATCCAATCAATGCAATTTGCAGCCCGGTGTCTTTTTTTAATAAAAAACCTTCATCTTGGTGCAGTTTTAGCATGATATAGGAAACGAGCTCAGACTACGGACATTTTATTCTCAAAATACGCATCCAT